TGTTTAGCAAAAGCATATATTTATTAGTTCCTTAACAAAGGTATCTAACATCTGTAAAACAAAAAGGGAGATGGTACATTCTTGAAATCCGTATTTTATGGTGGCCGGTTAAGGCCATTTCGCGTTTTCGCCCTTCATATTCTATAGGGCGTAAACGCGAAAACGGGAAATCGGAAAGAAAAAAATGTTTAATTAACCGGCCACCATATTTTTTGCCTTTTCCATTTTCTAAAGCCTGTTTAAAGTAACAGCCAAATGGATTTGAAACTATTTACTTTTGGATAGACATCTGTTTCATATTCAAAATATAACAAACATATTAAACATGTTGATAAACTCAACGTTATTTGGTCTCTGGTTGATAATATTGTCTCTTTGCCAATCATACCACATCTCCTTTTTTTTTTTTATAAAAACGTTGCCTCAGTACACAATGTTCTCAATAAAATTATTAAAGAGGAAAAAGAAATCTTGTATTTAAATGAAAAATAAATTACACATTTTCATTTTAAATGGTTTTACTTTAAAAAAATGTGTTTTGCATTTGAATACAGAAACTATATTTGCAAAACACGTGACATTGCGGGAAAGGCTTCAATGCTCATTGAAAGCTTTAAGCCATTCTTTTGAACTGGAAAGGTATAACAAGGTGGCTTGTCATTTAACAGGTAAAATTTAAAATCTAAAATTGTATGTATTGACTTTTTGATACGGAAACAGCGTGTCTATCATGTTATACAGAATATGAAATGTGTTCCTACCATACCAGAGGACGATCAGTATATCAGTTTTGGTTTATGGTAAGCCCATATGCTGTTTGCTTTGTTATGCTTTGGCGCATAGTGAATCGTATTAAGTTCTGTTGTACTAGTTCATGACTTAGTGCATGCTTAATGGTATTAAGTTATTTTGTACTTTTGCTCCAAGCTGGGCACATTTTATTGATTATATAAGTTATGTCTAGCTATAGCTGTTATCACTCCGTAAAAACTATAAAGTAATATAGAGATGATATGTTTTACAAACCCTCAAATGTTAACCCTCAAATGTTAACTCAATAGTTGTTCTTTTTAACATATAAAACAAGACTATACAAATACTGGTCTAGCACAATAAACAGCTAAGAGGTTTTTATGAAAAATCTTTATTAGAATGTGTATTTCTTGTTTACTCAAATCGATTATGTTTGATGAAATATTAAAAGAATACTCATTAATGGTATTCATAAGCATGTAGCTACATAGAGGTCATTTCTTCGAATCGCCCAATCTGTTTACATTTTGTCATTTTTTCCTGTTATTGCAATTTTAAAGAATAATAAGTTTAGCTGGGTTTTTTGTGTTAGCATTCTTCTTGTCATAGTATGTAGCATTCTACACACAGTCTATAATGTTCACATCAGTCCATTGCTAAAATTGAAACTGTATAATACTTTTCTTACAATATCAAGTCGGGAACTAATCTTTACTAACCAAAGATATAATTAAATATGGACATACATTTTATACACATCCATTGTCGTTTGAAAGTTTTAAAATTCTTTGTCATTTATATATTTATTTAGATCAAAGTAGAATCAAACTTGGCTATTTTATTGATCATATCATGGTAAACACGGTAAGGAAAGGAGGCTATCACTTTAGTATTATTGTGATTAACAGACGATTTCACATGACTCCATGAACCCATTACAAAGAATAATCTTATAATCAAATAGCGATTTAAACATAATAAAATGTAAAATAGCCATCAAAATAGCGTATCTGATAAAAATGTGTAACCAGCATTAAAACATAGCCAGCAGGACAAACATTTATGGTCATTAAAATTTTAAAGATGACAAAGTCTAGGCGAACTATTCATTTACTGGTTTAAAAAGTTACATTCGATAAAATCTTTGAAGGAAAATTGTTTGGTATGTTATAGTGCCTAACAAGATTTTGTGAGGTAGACAAATCCGGCCTTAAAATGATCAAATAGACGTTTAATGTACAAAAAAAAGGCAGATCGGTCATATTTTGACATTATTAACTCACTGTTTTCATTTGGATTAAATTGGACTGATAACAGCTTAATGAGACTGAAAAAATTCTGTTTTCTATTAAAACACACAAGCTTTTTACCTTGCGTAGACGTGCGTGAAATATATTTTGACTTCAGGACACATTTTTTACACCTTTAATCTTAAGCTGATTTTGAATCGACAAAATAACTCGATTTTTTAAAACTCCTAATCAACCTACCATTTCTATACCCAAATCCCTGTCGAATGTCCAATCTACAAGATTTTTAAAAAGTCAGAAGTCAAATCTACAAGATTTATAAAAGTCGAAATCTTGAGAATTTTAATATAAACTAAGTACTTTTCCTAGTGAAATGTATAAATTCTCATAAAGTTGAAATGTCGAGTAAAGTAAAAATCAAAAGCACATGCGGATCCAGGATTTTGAAAAGGAGGGGGGGACCAAACTAGACATCATTTGAAGTGGAACCGGTGAAAAGTCTGGATTAATCATAAATGAAGCTCCATAAAGGGGGGGGGGCACCCCCTAAATCCGCCTCTGAAAAGCAAACGTCGAGCAAGGTTAAAATTGAAATCGATATTTCGGCAGTAAAAATGTTTGATGATAATTTATATTGTTTCTGTCCATCATACGCTTTCGTTGATGTTTTCAAACCCTGTAACTAAAATTGCTCATATTAAAAAACCTTAAAAAACTACATTGTAATTTATACTTTTACGATTAGATCTTAATATTGTCAATTGAATCTTAACGATACTGCTACTCCTGATAAAACAGTAATCTCTTTGTTTCAAAACAAAGGTTATATACCAACTTTATTAAATGTCTTTTTTTATTATTGGTATCAATGCAATAGTTCAACATTTGGTTCATCTCAGATCTATCCAAATTCACTTATTTTCTGATTGATGCTTTTAAATATACTCGATTCCACGTTTAAATCATGTTTTGTACTTTAAAACAATGATTTGCTAGAAGTATACAAAGTAAATGTTATCAATACTGCTTTGAATATTTAAATGAATTAAAAGTAATGCTCAAGGTTACGAAGGTAAGGCAAATAAATAACATATAAATAGATCCTAATGAAATAGTACATTTATATGCTTCATAGTTTGCGATTTGACTTTGGAATCAACTCAACCATTCACATACATCGATTACAAGGATGGAAAGAGTGGGTTGTCTTCACAGTTCGTGTACCTTCATGAAAATATTTTGTCATGCAGTGACTGAATGCTTGGATACGTAACAATCTAATCCGGTTATAACATTTTAAATGACGAAAACTTAACCAGGACCTTGTTTAAAGTGACGGACTGAGGTGTTGCAAGTTGTCGTCTGCTTGTTCCCCTATTGATTATGTAATAAATTCTGCCATTATAAAAAGGAAGTGGCTTCGACTCGATGATTTTCGTCATACATAATGAATGCCATGGTTTAAATACCGTTTGAAAGTGACTTCAAAATGCTGACTGTAGTTATCATTTGGTTTTATTTCCGAGACAATGCCAATTGGTTTCTAAACTGGCTTGAACATAAACAGAGGGTAAGTTTCACTTTTCCATATAGTCACATGTAATAGATTTAGGGTTTTTTTTTTTTGGCAAAAGGTGCATTCGGGTACATGAATACTCCAGGATGTACCGTCTTTTTGCAAAAAAAAACTCAACAAAAAAACACACTAGTTTTGTGACTGTAAATCACTTGTACTTTGGGTTTTCAGTTATTTAAAAATTAATAATCGTAGTGAATATTTCAAACTTTTTCGATGTGATTGGTCTTCCCTCCTCTTAACATGGGACAGTTATATAACAACACAACATTTGACCAAACTGCAAAAATCAAAGGGCTTATTGACCCATCAGATTTGCTCTAACAATAAAATAACTAACAAAATGAAAAACAAAACAAAAGTACAAATCGTATATCTTTTTAATCATAGAGTTTCAGTACAGTCCTACCATACAGTTTATAGAAACTATTATATGTGGCAGGTTAATTTAATTAAGCAATTTCCTCAGTCTGGTAGTTTAAACTGAATGTGTATGGTTTACATTGCTAAAACATGTGACTATCTCTTTTTAATCATAACTAATGTTCAAAACATCTTCGACAAAAAATGAATACATAATTTTCACCTTCAAACACTGCATACGTGTTAAATCAGCAGGTAAATTACATATATAATATGCAAGTCTTATTTTACCTTTGTATGAAAGTGTGGGATGTTTTCTATAATTCATCAACCACCAACCTTGTCAAAATAATTAATTTAACAATAGACTTGTTTGGTAATGTAGGCAATTCAACAAAAAGAAACAAGTAAACCAATATATACACATTAGTGTAAGTTAGGATATCAAGTGGAGTTGCCAATTACATTGACCATTCCACATGAAATAAAGGCTAAATCCTGATTTTGTCAAGATATCAGATGAATAAAAACAATAAATGCACAGTCAGTTTTGAAACCGTCATCATAGTTTTCCAAAAAGAGCGCGGTATGCTTATTATTGTTCCCGTTAATTTTCTGAAGTAAAACTTTTAAGTGCTGTCACTCTCACATCCCGGCCTTCGGCTGTTTTCTGCTCTTTGGTCGGGTTGTTGTCTCTTTTACACTCTCCTCATTTCCATTCTCAATTTTATAGTATTATAACAACGTTAAAATTATTCCTTAAACTTCATTTTCAACAAATTTTATGTTCATGGAATTCCTGCGGCTCTTTTCACAAAAAAAACTTAAGAGTAAAAATACTCGTAAGTCATACACATTTCAGACAGTATAACTTACGATCAATTTTTATCGCAAGATTTTTTTGTGAAAAGAGTCGCAGGATGATCCAAAGTTGCTTTTTAAGCGGTGAATTAATTGTGACATAAAATTATCAAAATACATATAGAAACTATCTTAGTGGAGAACTGCGCATATTTTGCCTCTGGAAACAATCTTAAACCATAAAAAAAGAATATTTCAACAGCTCTTTAACAGATGAAAACCATGCATTCAATACCCGATCATTTATTATGGTTTAGTCAGCAAAGAAATGAAATCGATATATGCAATCTACAACAACAACAGAGAACTGATCCACTCGTACTACGTAAACTATTACATGTTTGATATTAAAAGTGACAATTATTAATAATGGAAAAAAGAAAAAAAAAAATCAATCAAATATCAACGAGTAAAACCTCTATAACTAGTGGTAATCTGAATATCTTACGTAATAACTGTGACAAATTTACTTAATTTCATTCATGACCAACAACCCATACAGCCGGTTAACCTAAGGTATTTAAATGAATGTACCTACCCGCCAATAAAATGTCCTGTGTTTAAATGTTAAAGTTCACTGTGACTAAAGATTAGTACACTGCAGACGCTATTATAATGGAGATTAAACTATAGTTTTTCATAAGCTATTTATAAGAGGATCAATCGCATATTAGTAGTAAGTAAAAAAAAAAACATATTTGTAGACCTAAATCATAAAGTTAATTATATAAAATGTAAGCCAGCAGTATACCTTATTAACATAGTTTTGCGAAAGTTGTACAATGTAATATTCCATTTATATACGCTTAATTCATGTTAACATTTACGCCATATTTGTTATGGAAATTAGTTAACTTACTGTTTGTTATTTCAATACTATCGCCACACCATTCCCTTACACAGCTGATTTTAATCAATACCTCTGGTGTTTACTCACAAACACACACACACACACATACCCGTGTCACATGTACTGAAATTAGCCGACTATCTTATAAATGTTTTGGTGATATCCTTGAATTGGTGGCTTGCTGTCTCATTGGCTATATTTAAATCAAACAAAGACAATGGAAAGGGTTATGCAAGTTGATTTTTGTTTCATGAATTGTCGTAATAGTTTATTGAACGTGCATTTAATTTTCTGTAGCATATTTCATAGATTTGATTAAAACATCTTTATTTCGTAGTTCATGCCATGTGCTTTTAGATATCAGAAACTTTTCTGATGGGGACAATTATTCATATTTGATTTAGACGAGCGTAGGCTTCAATGCTTTTAAATTTAGCAAAACATCACTTTTACATGCACATGTACCTTTTTGTGGTCAACAGAATAATAAATTTTACTAAAGGTCTATTGGAATGCAGTAAGTTTATTCAACGTGCGGTAAATAGAAAAATTGCAAACTTTTTGTTTTCTGATTTATAATCGTTCGTGCAATGCGATATTCTCTCAAACATGAAATTTACCTGTTATATAAAAGAAGATACTCTAAATATTTATGAAACCACAATACTTTAAAGGAAAAGAGATTCGTAAAAGTACAATTTATGCATAAAATTGATTAATTTTTGTCGACGCCGCGTGATTTGAACGACATTTCTTGATAAAATACCATGCATATTAAATTTGTTCTGAGGGTGTGGTATCAAATAACTTAAACCAGTTTTAAACGAGATATAATTATTTACAGCTATGGATATACCTTTATAAAGAATATTCAATAAAATAGACAAAACATTCAACACTTTTATCCCTTGACATCTTTTTCAATAGTTGGTTAACAAATGTATAATAAAACTTCTCTCTTATTCGTACAGAATTTGGTTTATCGACTTGTTTTTTTTTTGGAAACCCTATCAATTTGATATATGCAAACTATTATTGAGATATTAGAATGTTTCTAATAAGAGTTTTACTAAAGGATAGTGATAGAAGCCATTACAGAGGGCCCCGCAGCCAGTAAATGAGTAATTTGGGATTCAATTTCGGTTTTCTAAATTCAACTTTTTGACCATGAACATCAACATACTGTTTTCTTCCATGTACAGGACACAATTTCTGGTAGTAGTGAATAATCGTGCCAAGATTTATCACTGAACTCAAAGGGGTTTTAAAGTAAAGGAGCGGAATTTTTTTTTGTACATATGCACAGGGGTGGCTAAGTAGAACTAAGTTTTTGATCATGACTACCGGTATAGGGTTTTCTTCTGTATTCGATAAACATCTTTTAATAGCGGTGATTTGTCATGCCAAGTTTCACCCCTGGGATTTAAAAGTCAGAGAGCGGAAACGATTTTGTACATACGGACAGAGGTGACTTAGTTAAACCCAGTTGACCATGACTCTCGGTGTACAGTTTTTTCCTTGTACCCGACATCTTATGGTAGCAGTGAATAAGCATGTCATGTTTCATCACTAAACTGCTAGGAGTTTAAAAGTTAGAGAGTGGAAACGATTTGTGACGGACGCAATGACGGACATGCTGATTGCTATAGATTAGCATTAATAGGAATGGAAGAGTAGATTTTCCAGTATGATTAATTTTGTACTTATTCTCTCATGTATAGAAAAAATATCAAGAGTGATTGCCTGCTTAACATGTCATTACTAATTTCACACTCTCATTAAAACATGTATTTGCAACAAATGTGATAAAAGTGTTTGTTTGTTTCAGTCATAAATCATCTTAGAATATTCCAGTATCATGGAATACACATGTTTGGAAATCCCACCCTTGTTTTCTGGAAATGGTTTGATGGTAGAAATTTTTTGGCTCTCCTGGCTTTTGTTCGTGCTAGGGTTGATGATGCTGATTTTACTTTGCTATTGCATGTGCTGGAAACGAAATCGTCCAAAACCAATACATGTTCATCCAGATCCAATAGTGATGACATCAAGATTTGTACAGACCGTATGTACCAAAATGGTTCTAGGTGTTGTAGGCCCTGCTTTCTTGTCTATGTTTAACATCAATAGTGTTAGTTGTATTCACTAGATAACCATAGCAATTCGCAGATATAGTGCACGTTCATAGAATTCCTCACTAATTTCGTCTAATAATACGTAGCAAATTTCATATTTTCCAGGCACATTTTTATTTTAATATCGCACGAATCCTTATGATTTATTACTATAGGTATTGTTTTAAAGCTTTTTATTGCATTGTTGAGCTTTACCCATGGCTTTTCTGTTATGTTTATTTTATTTTCTAATAATGAGTGTGGTGCTTTATGTTTGCAGTTTGACAAATTCTTAGAGTGCATTACGTTTGCTTGCTTTTGTCAGCATACATTTTGCAAGCTTTTTCTTTGTATATAATTTGTCATTACTTTCTGTATTCTTTATTCATTTCTGATACTTTTAGCTTTTTCACTCTTCTGTTCTGTTCTCTTAATTTACTCTCTCTTATTATTAGTATTTTGATTTCTTATACATTGTCACGAGCAGATTAATGAAATGTACCGTGCAGTTGAACGTGTGGATCAATAATGCATACATGGAAGTGGGGTTCGTTTGTTGAAAAAAAAGAGTTTATTTTGTAAAAATTTTTCTTATATAAGATTATTATCATTATGTGTAAGTATCCTATAAGCTGTATTTGCTTTTGGAATAAAGTATTATTATCATGCTTACTTTTTACACATTGTGACTGGGATGGAGAGTTGTCTCATTGGCACTCATACCTCATCTTCTTATTTATATTTCACAAATAATCAGAATGATTAATTTCATTTTTACCGCGTTGTTTGTCTCTTGGTTGCATGCCCATCTCAGGTTTTGAAATAGTGGGTTCGATGACCTACCAGGTCAAACTAGCCTTATACTATATATTTGCTGCCTATTCACACAAGTACGCAGCATTCAGGATAATAACACACACTGGTCACGATGGAGTGAGAATAATAAGTCCGGCTAGGCTGACAAGTCTCCATGTGGAACAGGTTTCTTTTTTAGCTAGAATGTTAAAGGAATCTGAATCAGCGTGTCAGTCTACTAGTACAAAGCAGGACTTATTATCATATAACATCGACACGTTATCGCACTTACTGCATGTGAATATTTGTCTCTGGACGATAAAAAGCGATCAATCGAACAATCATTTCATATACTAGACAATCTCATTATTTTCCCCTGTTAAATCAATTTGACTTAGGTTTGATTTCATTACTAACAGCAATTACAAAATATCAACATTATGATTGCAGCTTTCTTATCGTCCTTAAGCATAGACTCTATATAGATTTAACACATTAATCGCCATGACATGCAGTAAACTCTATCCTTCAAATATTTTTTTTAATTTCGAAATGATCTGGTAAAGAATATATTTAATTTTAGTTTATTTTTAACTGAATGGCGAGCCTGAGTAAAGCAGATTTTATTTTTTTTAAAGTCTATGTCCATATATGAATCAAACTGATATATTTTTACTTTCTTAAGATTTTCTTTGAAACCTAACAACATACATGTATATATTCGAGCCATATTTGAAGAAAAACACAAAACAGAAACCTACACAAATCCCCAGCATAAATTTTGTCGGCTTGTTTGAAGCATTTAATAATCTATAAATACGCCTTTAAAGTAATAGATATCCACTTGAATCACTGGGTATACTGTATTATATTTACTTTCAATAAATAGGTGAACACACCTGCAAATAAATAGAGATTATATATTTGAAATATTTAAACATATAAATTACAGCTTACGTTCAAAAGTGAAAATATTGCATTTCAGTATTTCAAATCATGAAAGCGAAATGTTCATGTTAAATTAAACTACCTACAAAAAGTCTATGTATGTTGTATTCTTGTGTAAAATCAATTCAAACATTCATAATAAGTAACTTGACGATTATAAAAATTAATTTAATATCTTTATATATGAGAACATACATAGATAATATTGAAATTAAGCTCTATGCATATTTGGAGAAGAAAAAAGCCAATACTTAAGAGAGTTTTTGAAATTGAGTTGTATAAAGACTTTAATAGTCATTTTCATTGGAATGCACACACTTATAGGATAGGTAAGTTGAAATATGACAACTTATTTGAAATAAATCGATATTTTATATTACTTCAGTAGGGGAAAAGGAGTAAGAAGACAGAAAATAATAATATGTGATTTTCCTGTAATTGCCTTGTTGATTTGGTTGCATGAGAATCTATGCAATATCCAACTTTTTAAAGATAAGCTTCTATCATATAGTGACAACCTTTAACTAATTGAAGATTATGTTTCAGGAGGATTACTTACAACAAGACATAGAACGATTTTTTGAATTCAAACTAGTTTCAGGTTCAGGTTTTTCAAATGGTGTATGGTTTGGTTTAAAACCAGGTTTTAAACCGGTTTTGTTTTAGCAGTTTTGAATGTTTATCAAACCTACCACAAATTGAAACCAGTTACGCCCATAGATAAATTATTTAAGATTTGAAATAAAGGAAAATGAGTTTAACAAATGAGCAATAGGTTTCATATGTTAAGTGGAATTTAATATCGATGTTTTGAGATTGAAGATTAGGAAAAGTCTACTGTTGTGCTATTTGTGATATTTTCAGATAGTTTGTTCCAATCGGTTATTGTTCTTGGAAAAACTTCTTTATGAACTGAGTTTTGCAGGTTGGAATTAGGAAACTGTAAGACTTTGAATGTTCTGTTCGTCTTCTTTTGTGCAACTTGTTTATGTTCTATTCTTTATAACATGATTTACCGTGAATCATTTCTGCTGTCAGAGAGGCTGCATCATCCCAGGTGATGCTACATGCTACCAAAGCTATTTCTGTATTTATTGGTTATTAAACAATCCTCCCTTCTTTGAACTCTTTCTATACTGTCTATGTCGTGTTGTAAGTAATGGTACAAAAACTGGGCATTATGCGGAAGTACTCGGCATGTTGGCTTGCCTGTCTGGTAAAGCTTTTTATTACATTTCAAATATTTAGCAGTGTATGAATATAAAAGTGCTTAGCAAATGTTTTTATTGGTCAGGTCTTCGACCAGAATAATCATTTATCTAAATACGATTTTTTTTATTTTTTCAAATTGATGGAGACCTTGTTTTTCATTTACGTTTTAATTATATGCGTATTTAGTGTCGTTATTATGCCTTTTTCTTGAATATTATTATCGAGTTTTGTGCATATTCATAAACTTATAATAAAGAATTTAAAAATAAATGTATATGATAATAGTACTCTGGAATACACATTTTAACATCAAATTAGTTGTCAAATTTACAATGTTCAACTTCGATAACTTATATCTCTGTTAAATCCCGTTTGCAAAAATATGCAGAACAATTGAAGTAATTTTGAATAAAATTTTGATAATTTAATTACCACTTCGATATTTGTCTTACAGAGGAAAATGTCCCAGGAGGACCTCCACAGTTGTCTGGACTGGCTGCTGCAGGAACAGGTACAAGATAAATTCATTCTTTTACATCAAACGACCTGATTTGAGTGTCTTTTATGTAAAGGGTCGTAAAAGAAATACTAAACATTTTTATCAGAACATACATCCAGAAGGATTTATAAGGTTATTAAGTCTCAATTTTATCTACACTGTTGCTATGTATACATTTTTATGTACAGTATGAAAAGAACTTTATAAATTTAATGCGTCCGAAATTATTAACTGACATATTTCTACTATTGGAAAATTGTACCTTAGTTTAAATACGATAGTAAAAGCCGGTTCTTTTTCACCAAGAGAGCATAATAACGACGTTGTCATTTCACTTTTTTGTAGGGAGAACTACAGTCAGCATCTTTTGGACAGTCGAAAGATGGGGTATTATCAGCAGCTCGACTTCAGAAACTCAAACAACAAAACATCAACAACTATAATGAAACCATTTCTAAAGTTGTAGCCAAACATGTAAGAAAATTTATGTAATTTTTAACCTGACTACTACTGGGCTGGTACAGCTGCTGGTGATCTGTCAAACCCTAGGGTCCACCCGCTGGTTTCTTTCAAATCATAAATTACGACTATATTTTTAATAAATTAAAACAAAAGTTGCACCTTCTTCAGGCAGAATTCAAATTACAGTTAATAGCAGTTCGGTTTTTGGTTAAGATGCTCTCAAACGTTACATGTCATAACTAAAATATGCCCACACAATTATTACCTGTGACGGGTGATGTAAGCATACATTCTTGTTTTGTCAACGCACCTGTTCGTCAATCCGTTTAGGGTATTTTTGTTCGTTTTAAACCTGTACTTACGATTTCTTACTTAACATCGGTATGCAACTTTAGTATTCTTTGAAATGTCTGCAATCAGATTATACTTCCACAATACATTCCCATCTTTGTCATAAAAGCTCGGAGTAAAACTTATGAGTTGTCTATCACTGCACTGCTGTAAATCATTTAATAAAAGAAAACAATACATGGTGAAACATTAGAACACCTTCATATGGTCCAATGCCTCGTATAGAGATAGTGCCACGCTCTCTGTCAGTTTAAGAATCATTGCAACACATTTTTGACGGGTTCGTAGGTGGACTGTTGCAAGGTAAAATTTCTGTCTCTATCTAACATAACATTGTTTTCCAGTGGTAGTCCAATTTTCTTGCCCTTCATCCCTGCCTACCAACCTTGCAGAACCTGCCTATTGTCTCGCCTAATTAATTGTTAATAGTTTCTGGTTATGAATATGCACGAATTAATTGTCACGGGACGTTATCAAGCAATAACCAACCAATCAATCAATCACCTGCATATGAAACAAACATACATGTAGATATATATTCAGAATGTTTTAAACATGTTTTATTCATCCTTTCAGAAACTGTCTCCAAATGAATCCAGAGAGTTATCAGAAGCATATGATTCTTTAAAGGTTAGTGTTATTAAAGTGTTACTTGATCATATATCAAATAATGAAAAGTGAAATAATTTTTACCTTTATCTATTCAAATAAAAATATCAATTGAACGACAACGATTCATTACCATGAATGTTTAATCCTTATCTCCTATGGTACTGATGGGTTTCAAATATATAAATATTCGATAAATTTACATTATAGTAAGAACAATTGAAAATGGATTTGACATACAAGTAATATGTGGTCAAAGTTGTCCAATGTTATACGCGCAATATATACATTACATTACTCTGTTGATTATCGCAATTTGAAACCGTTCCAGGCAGTATCAACGAAAAGAACAGCATGTATGGAGGTGATGGCTGGAGTAGCTTCCCTTGAAGATCCAATTGAGGTATAGATTATATGTGCCATTCGATGCATATAATTGTGTTATATGTCTCTGCTCTAGGGTATTCCAAATAGACCATAGCAGCATGACTTTTCCAGATTGATGATGAAAATTACATTTATATTTTAGACTTGTTTTATACTATATACATTTTCATTGCTATTATTATAATCCTTCAGTTTGAAAATAATACTTTTTTAAAAGTAAAAGGAACATCTTCAATTTGTTATCAGACCATTATTTTGATTAATACAGACTTTCCCCCTTATAATCATTTAGTAGTTTTGTAGAAAACATCTTGAAGGTTTACATGTGCCATTATATGCGCCATTCGATTCATTGACTTTAAACAGAGACATACAATGAATATCATTGTATTATATGTCTCTGCTCTAAAGCATGCCACATAGACCATAGCAGCATGACTTTTTCCAAATTAATAATGAAAATTACAGTTAGATTTGAGACCTGTTTAATAATATATATATATTCATTGCTTTTATCATAACCATTCAGTTTGAAAATATACTATTTTTAAAAGATGTAGAGAGTCTTATAACAACAACACTTGATAAAAAACATAAGATGTAGAGAGTCTTATAACAACAACACTGATAAAAAACATAAGATGTAGAGAGTCTTATAACAACAATCTCTATCGTACTACAGACTCACCAGGCGTTGGTTCACTTTCGTTTGTAAACTATTTTTAAAAGTAAAAGGAACATCTTAAATTTGTTATCAGACCATTATTTTGATTAATACAGACTGTTCCCCTTATAACCATTTAGTAAGTTTGCTCAAAACATCTTGAAAGATTACAGCTAACAGAAGACACTTTTTTAAATGCTTTCTAACACTTTCAGACTCTAGCAAGTGAATTTGACACAAGAGCCGTACATCTTGTCAACTTAGGATATAACAATAGAGATACAGCCAATCCTTTGCAGAGTAATGAGAGTATGGCAAGGACTGCTCAGGTTTGTTCACAACATTTTATAATATTACCACTCTTTTAAGGGTAGTTAATCTTCCTTACTTTTTGCCCTTGGAAAATATACGAAATGTTTGGTTTTGTAGTTCTAGTATAATAGCTCAATTTTTCGTTCTTCTTAAGTAAATGTAATTGCCAGTCTCGTTAAAACACATTGGGAATATTTGTTTGAGAAATCTGATGTTTGGAAATCTGTGTGAAATTAGATTACAACTTGTGTAGACTTGGGGTGTTCTCTAATTTGATGTGTGGTATATTTTTTTGTCTATTCTCATATATTTGTACAGTAGACGTATTTTTATTTTATTTTGTTTCTATCGCTTGACCTATACCTCACATAGAATATCATTTCAAATATATATTTGAAAAAAAAAGATTAAAATTAAGATTATAGATATGCGCGACATTCATTTGGTCGTATAGATTTAGGCAGCAGTAGTTTACCAATGTTCAAATCTTATAAATCAAGGAAGAAGATCAGGTAACTGATGGAATCGTATGATCTCCAAAAGGAACTAGACCGGGTGCGTCGATATTGTAAGCGTCTCCTGAGGGTATAGGGAAGGATTCAGGGTAAACGTAAGATTTTTTATTTTTCTCCAAACTTTAATATGAGTTGCAATCACAACAAAATAGATATAACATACACTATAAAACACTAGGCTTCTTTCCATTAAGGTTTATGTACGGATAATATCATAAAAACAAAATCTGTGCAATATTTTAAAACAGAACTGTGTTGCTGGCGTACGAAATAACTGGAGATGGATAGATACAGTTCTACAGTGCTCCCAGGTCCATCTTCATAATGCTGCCGCATATCATCAGGTAAAAAAATATAGTTGTTAGAATTATTATATAATCTAAGTTCTTATGTATGATTCAACTGTTCTTAAATACATACTTGTAGCAACATTCCTCGCATGATTTGAATAACATGGTTTGTTTGTAGTTGATTTCATAAATTAAGTACTTGTTCTAAAACCTTTTTAACATTTTTGTTTTTATGCTCCTAAACTGTTTGTATTGGTGGCTTTCCAGACTTTTTTACTCGAACCTACCTAGTGGTTATTCAAGAATAATATATTTTTGCACGGATATCTGTATCATAATTCTTTAATAAATATTTGCTATTTTTTATTGTTTATATCACAGTTTTGCTATTATCAAATTTTTATCTTATTTTCTTCTAGTTTTTCCATGAAGTAGAAGAAGTTGAATACTGGATGAATACAACGCTATCACGTATTCATTTATCTTTCGATAGATCAAGACTAAAAGGCGATTCATCTGATGTTGCCTTTATCCAGGATGAAATGAAGGTATTACATTTTAAAACAATGTTTATAATTTTCATTATCACATAACAATGAAATAAAGATGGCAGATAAAATAACTAAATATAAAATAGTTAAAATGTAATTACATTGCACGGAATGACGTTTAAAAATTGGTTTTTCAGAGAAATATAGTTAACTGAACATGGATATTTCCATTTAGAAAATTTTGACATTTAACCACACATGTTTTGGTGGTGAATATATCATAGATGGCAGGGAAAAAGACGCAAAGGAAACAATAACCATTTACACTAATACTTCAACAACATTTTATTTGTACAAATATTTATTCAAAATAAATAATCAGTGTTATTTGCAAATAAAAATGTTAATATTAGAGTATTATTGTATAATGGGAGACAAGCGCGTCCTGAAATACTTAAAAAAATACTACTGGAAGTTATAGAGATTAAATTTCCTGTTACATATACAGTCATCGGCACGAGTATTAAACGCATTAAAGTTTTACACTTGACCTGTGTTCATGGTCCAATTTAATTGATTTTAAAACTTTATGCACTAAATTGATCAAATTATAGTCATCAACTAAATGAGAATGAAATAAGTCAAGTACATTATAATCTGAATTTAAGTTAAATGTATTAAAAATAAGTTGTCCTATGCGATTTATAATTATATACTTCATATGCAATAAGACCAGATTTCCCCCTCCGTAATAAATTAATCTAAAACAGACGAAGGAATTATCTTCTACCTTTTGTAGATAACATGTGGAAAAATTTGTTATTCGTCATTGTTTCAAAAAAAAAAAAAATTGAAATTATATAAAAATAATAGAAATAAAACGTTTGATTTCAACGTTTTTGTAGGATCATTTACTAGCATACCTACAGTGGCAGAGTAAAGTTGATAGACTTTTCGATCGTGCAAAGGACATTGTTCCAGTACAAGACAGAGTAGAGAAATTACAACAGTCTAAACCAGTGATTGCTTTAACTGATTACAAGACATCAGAGGTACTCAAATACATAAAATAAAACTTTCAAGTAGTAATGAACACAGTAATGCAGTTTTTTTTTTCATTCCTTTGTTTGAACAATGCTTAAATTTCAAATGTCAACTTTTTATAACCTAGCCAAAATATTAATAAACCCCGACATTTCCAATTTAGTTACCGCTTTTCGCCTTACTTACAAAGTATAAATAATTGTTATTCTGTTATTCAGCTTCAAATTAGCGTTTATTTTCTTTTAAATATGAGTACAGTATTACTATTTGCTTATAATTAATTATATTATAGATCGAATTCATCGAAGGAGAGACGCTTACCTTATTAGACAATAGCAAGCGAGATAAATGGAAGGTAATGAAAGTAAAAATTATTTCATACATCTATCCCTGTGTACATGACAGACTCACAATTTTGTTTGCATACATACATACACGTCTATCCAAGGGTTATTTCAATCATTTTTCAGTAGTTCAATTTTTTTTTACATATGTTTAAAAAGTTGAAATTCAAAACAAAACCTTCAAAATTCGAGTGAATGAATGGTAGCAATAGCAGGCTACCAAGTATATTCCAAAAAATCAATGCCCTTTTAAAGCAGGGTTTACATCAAACCAAACTTCGTCTTAAAAAAAGACAAAACTGCAAAATAATTTGTAACTTTCAATTTCCTTTGATTATACACCTATGGAAATCTATCAATGATCATTAGTATTTGACATAAAGGAACAATGAGATTTTTGTTAAGAATTCTTTAATTAATACGTCTAGCTTATTGTTTCTAATTATCTAATATCTCTTTCGATATTCTTAAATGAATATTTTAGGTACAAAACGAAAGGGACCAGATTGCAATGGTTCCAGCAGTAATTTTACTGATTCCATCACCATCAGGGAGAGCAATTGATGCTGCAGTCAGGTTACACTTATTATAATAGTAATAATAATGTTAAAATTAATTATAAAACTTTTACTAACTTCTTTCAAAGATACAAAGATTTTGTTTGGAAGCAGTGCTGAACCTCTAATTAAAAACGGGATAATACATACTTTTTTTTACAGTAATGTTGTTCATAGAGCCAGGAAATTTAGACACGATCCATGTAAACTCATTATCCTTTAAAAACCTATTCTTAAAAGAAATCAATTTTACACCGTTGTTAAAAAATCTTTAAATATTGTTTTTCTATCGGTACTTACATTGATTTTGCTTTTTAAATTGCTTTATGATGACCTATACCTAAATCCGCATCATTTGAACTCTGGTGGATAGTTGTCTCATTGGCAATCATACCACATCTCCTTATATTATAATGATTATAGTAGTTGTAGAAGGTATTTCTGTTTTGAGTTCATATTCTTTCTACTTCAAAAAGTCAGATTTTTTGTCGAATTTCAGACAATGTTATCATCATACTTTCAAAGTGTGGGTTGCATTAAAATATATATAATATGTATATATATATTTTTTGTGTAGAATGTTTAGCATAGAATAAACTTTTCTAAAAAAACCTCTTAAAACTGATAATAACAATTGTTATGGTACTTACTGTTTTATTTAATATTTCTGTCTTCGATATCTAGATTGCGAATACAGCTACTTGCACTGTGGACTGGAAGTATAAAACGTCTTGGCTATCAAATGATTGCCTTCATGACATTGATATTCAGGGACTGGACAGAGGAAGAGGTAAGATGATATTTTAGAGGTAAGACATACTTGAAAATGGTTTCAATGATAAAATATTTGACCTTGCAAACATCCTACGGACACCTCAAAGAGATGCTTTAAGGGTTCTATATTTATCTTTCAGAGTTTTTTTCGTTATTTTCAATTAAAATGTTCTCAACTTTATGTATTTTCGATTTTTAATGCTCTACAACTTTTCGGTAGTTTCTATTTTTAATGCTGATTTGGCCTTCCAGCTATTTTGATTCGAGCGCCACCGATGAGTCTTATGTAGACGAAAGTGCGTCTTGCGTACCGAATAATAAGCCTGTTTTAATGAGTTTTTTATATTATACCATATTTGACATTCCATTGAGTGGTACTCGGTTTGTTTTGTATGAAGTATTTTCCAGAAATATGTGACGTTCGTTCGGCAATCGGTATCGCGCGTTTCTTATTACTGTATTTCCTGATACATGGGCAACAGATCGTTTCATTACGTAAATCCGCTATTATCTATATTAAACATTGTAACAACGTGCTAATCACGTCACCGTGCTCTTATTGTGTTAAGGTGACAAGTAACATACCTCAAGTTGGGTGTAATCACGCGGAAAAATTCTGGAAGAAGTTTAAATTTGAAACTTTATTGTGGATTAAACAACTTATTGCACGAAAGAATCCAGTTTTTCCTCTAAGCACAGACCATTTTATGTTTGCCAAAATCGCGTTTTTATATAGTATTTTTTTAATTTCTGAAAAATAATAATAAGACATTTAAACTAAATTAGTACTATCATCATTACTTTTATCCTCAGATTAGAGCATTGCAGTCAATGGGTCAGAAAGACAAACGAGAACTATTGGGGATATTAGATAATATTGAAGATACTCTGATTAGAAACTGGAATGGTTATGGGGACTTCAAGCTTCTCCAAGAACGAATGTCTCAACTCAGAATGATTATCGAAGAATCTGATGACACTAAAGGGAAAGGCAAAAGTAAGGACATTTATAAACCTGGAAACAAAAACTGTTACTGTTGATTTCATTGTTTAGGTATGCATAAGCATAAACTTTCTTTAGTCTTGTATTTTTTTATTCGTCATAAAAAAGTATAACAAAAATACCGAACTCCAAGGCAATTTTAAAAAGGGGAAGTCCATAAAAATGACTAGATCAAACGCTATATTCCTGACTTGGTACAGGCATGTTCCGAAGAAACCTTGGTTAAACCTGGTTTGATAGCTAGCTTAACCTCCCATAACTATTAGATATATAGGCAACTGAAATGCTAAAAGCAGTCACGTTCACTCGCATTCCAAAGTTTAGAAATATTTGGCATGTAATAGTATTAAGTTCATTTTATACCAACCTTGATCATAAATAAGTGTCCAAGATGTCGTTAATTGATACATTGTGCTTATCTGTCACTAACTTGACTACTAGTATATACAAGTCATAATATCGTTGACTACATTTGTTGTAGGTTCAGAAGTATCTTCAACCGTTGTTGTTCAAGTAAAATCACTGGATGATCTCCTCAACAGATACAAAGTAAGTTATATCTTTGTCATAATGTGACGATTCGTTAATTAACAGTACTTTTTTTAATTAGATATCGAGAGTAGATTTTGGGGGTGTGCACCGGCACGAGTCTCTTAATTTAGTGAAATCTCTTATTTTTTTCTAAGAAGATAGAAGATAAATTACTCTAAATTATCGATTCTATTCTAAGATATTTTGGATTTGAGATGACGACATCTTAATTCTTATAAGAATTCCTCATAAAAAAATTAGTCACGCAACGTATACAAGTATAAGTCATATGAAATAAATAGGTAAAGTATAACCGCAAAGGAAACTGGTGTTTTTCAGTTTACCTTACCAGTAAAATTAAGTTATCATAAGTGGTTTTTTTTATGAATAGAATATTTTAAATGAAAGCGTACGTTGACCTTGTCCTTTGGTCTTTGGTGGATCATATCACATCTCTTTATTTTACTTTAAAACAATAAAACAGATGTACGAATCAAAATGCTTGTAAACAAAAATAAGTTCATTCTAAAAGTGGAAACAGTTTAACAAAGGGAAATGAAGTATGCATATTCAAAGTACACTGTGTCATGTGAATAGATATACATCATTAAATAAAATACGTACTAGAAGAAGGAAAATGGCAAAGTATACGTAATTCCGAGGTTACCTAAAAATCTAGTTCATTTTTTAGTTGATGTCGGTACCGCTGCCAGTGTACTGCCAGATCCCGAGGATATCATCAGCTCAGTAGCCAGTGCTTTGGTACTGACTTGATTTATAACTACTTTCTGAAATGTAGCTTTTTCTTTTTTTACCAGTTTTTAACAAATTCACGATAAACTAAGGTCCTTTTTTTTTATGAATATGCATAACTACCGCTATTCATTTTACCAAGTTTGTAAAGCAACTTGAATAAGGGTACTGTTGATTTACCACCTTTCGTTATGCAGGGAGCTTACAATTCCTAAAATTCTCCAAAATAGGTTTTACTAGTAAGAAGAATTCTATTCTACTTTAATGCGCCCTATTCATCCCATGAATGTTTAAGATGGTTTATATCCACCGCAGTTCTAAACGCCCAGATTTTAAACATGAATAGTATGCACAAAAAAGAAAGAAAGTATTTCACACAGTTCTACACAGTTCCAACTTCTAAGTTTCCTTCTTAAAAACCGAAGTTGACATTTAGATTGAGGATATACGTATACCCAATCAAGAATGATGTGATATATTTCAGATAAACATATACCCTATCAAGAATAATGTGATTCCTTTTGTAATTAAATCTTGAATCAAAGCTTTTTCAATTTTATTTTAGGATTTCTGGGCTTACTGGGAGACTTACAAAATGGTTGTAGAACTTCTTCAACAACCGAAATATTTACTAGTGTGTGACAAATGGGATCAGTTGAAGTATATCACTACTGCACATTTTGTTAAGTAAGTTTTGATATCAATTATCATATTTATCCAAAACACATTCCTATTTTCTTAAGTTATAATGGAATGCGTGTATATACAGTGCTTTTGCGGACAAGGTTACTTTCTGAATTTTGAATACTGACGTTTATATGCTCATGAGAAAGAGAACACAAATAAAAGAGGGATAGGAAACACAAAAATACACCCCTATACCAGTATTTCAATATGTATATTCTGCATATGAAGTCAAGACAACTCAAATGTATTTTTGCCATCTTGAGGAATCTAAATATTGCACCATCACATATTCTAAAGGAGAGTATGAATTATTTATATGTTTATAGTATCATTTACAAGTAAAGTTGGAAGATACCAATGGATCAGAAATAGAACAGTAAAATAAACCAAAAAAAAACACTACGTCACTGTCAGAAAGAAAAAAATAAATAACAATGATCCAGAAATTATTTCTATGACAACAGAAATTAATCAACAACACGCCTGTCCTTAAACAAAAAAAGAGTGAACTGAGATATCTCGGAATATTTATCAGTTCCTGCTCTACTTGTTTAGTCCGAGGTGTTATTCATGTACAATTCCCTGTAATTCTGGGATGGATGAATCGAGAGGAAAAAGACGATTGTGAACAGTATACACAATCATGATACCGATTGTAAGGGCTTTAATCTACCACGAGAAACCTCCTGGTCTTTGATGAAAACAATTATTTATACAGTGATGTTTTTTTTTTTTATCAAAAACGATGGATGGTTGTTAACCTGAAAACTGTAATGACAAGATTTCTTTTATACAAGCGTATACTAACGAAATAAATAATTGTTTTGTAGATTCTGGAATACTCCATTAGATCTCCAACTTCCTGGTTACACATCAACAGATTATCAACTTGACCAATATTCTATTTCGGACCAAAGTATAACGTTGTCAGAAACTCCAAGTGAACCATTCCCTGAACGTGAATTGCCTCTTCGAAAATCAATTGAAGAAGAAGAACATGACGACTTTGAAGAAATCGTCCAAGAAACAGTAACTCAAACACAACAATCAGTTCAGCAAACTGTCCCTGAAGATGAAACCTATGAGATGTCTGAGGAGTTAACAGAAACCAGAGAGGAAACAACAACTGATCAGATTTATTCAAGCGTGGAAGAGGAAACAAGTGTCTTGATTATTAAGTCGGTTGTTGATCCGAGGACAAATTCTCTGATTTCTGTTCAAGAGGCAGTTATGCAAGGAATTTTAGACCAAGTTGAAGGCACGTATGTTAATCCTATTACAAAAGAAGTAACAAAGTTAATCGATGCACAGAACGAAGGACTTGTTATAATGCAAACACAATCTAGAAAACGATTACGAAAACAGGACCAGTCATATGGTCTGATAACAATTAAGACGACAAAAGAAAACCGACCGTACACAGTAAAGGCCGTGCTGGATCCAAGCACTGAAGAGGAGATAACTGTTGCAGAGGCAGTAAAGAGAGGTTTTATTGATACCAAAGCGGGAACTTACAAAATGGACAATGGTGATAATATATCAATACCTGATGCAATAGAAAGTGGTCTTGTAATTGCTGAGTTCTCTGATGGACCAGATACTACACATGAAGCGGAAACCGTCACAAAAACGTATGCCGTACACGGAGTAATAGACCAAAAGCGCAAAATTAAAGTGTCCTTTACTGATGCGCTAACACGACGCTTGTTAGATAGAGAAGATGGATACTATTTTCACAATTTAACACGTGCAAAAGTTCCAATAAGTGAAGCCATTATGAAGGGTTTTATCAAAGCTAGATTAGTAAAAGATCCATCAAAATTAGATATTAATCCAAATAATAACATTGTGATTGAGAAATTTTCAAATGCAAAATCAAAAATAATGAAAGCAGTGAAAATCTCAAAAGCTTTCAAGGCAGCAGCAAATGGAAATACATGAACAAAACATATTTCTATCTTACCCAATGCTTTTATGTATAGTCTGCTACTATTGTTTGTTGTTATATGTACTATCATTTAACAATGTCTATTCAAATGCGTTTTTGCAGGATCTTTGTAAAGATGTTTTATTCATTTACCGTTTATAACTATTTCCGTTATGCAATAAGTGTGACTATAATTTAAATACGTGGTTCATCAAAAGGCAAGATTACCTACAATATTCAACTAAATTGAGAATATAGTTAGCAAAAAGAATTATTGGTAACTGTTTGCATGGTTTAAATGTTAGGTAAAGATTAATTACATGTTGTACCGTACCCGTCTTTCTTGAGTCTAGAATAGAACATAATCTTAACAATAAAAAATTCTTTTGACATCCGGTTTTGTCACCTAATGTTATATTTAGCTGCTAAGCAGAACTCGTTGAAATCATAAGCAATTTAGGACAAGCTTCAAGTTAAAACAGCCGACATCTATTAAAAATTCAGATTAGAAAAGATTTATATAAATATAATGGGGGCCTCGGTGGCCGAGTGGTCTAAGGAGTTACTACTGTAATCACTAGCCAGTCAACACTGAGGTTGTGAGTTCGAACCCCGCTCGTGCGGGTGCACTCGACTCCAGTCTTTATTGACTAGGATTGTCAGTTTTCTTATCGAAGGTCGGTGGTTTTCTCCGGGCACTCCGGCTTCCCCCACCAATAAAAACTGGCCGCCACGAAATAGCCCAAAAGCGGTGCTTAAAAGTGGCGTTAAAACACCAAAAATTAAATTAATTATAAATATAATGTTTGACCAAGAAAACGTATTTTTGATAATATTTAGACCTTATTTTCATTAATATAATTAATGAGTTTGTAATGTTTTATAAGCTTATTATTGGCCTACTACCTTAAAACTCTTTTTATGCAAGGTCATGTTTATTTGTTGATAATATTTTTAAACTCTGAAAATGTTTTTGCAATTTCTATGTGACATTTTATATTATTATAAAGCTTATATTTTATTGCTAGATGAAATATTTTTACCAATTGTAGTAACAGTCTTTTTGACAAATTTAAGAAATGAAATAAACATTTTATATATAACAATTATTTATCTTTTTAATTTCCGTATTTGTTTGCGTTGTAAGTTTAAAAAATGAAGCCATTGTCTTATATCTTACTGGAAAAAAATGATCAGAATGTCAATTTCTACCCACTATCTATTTTCATCAAAAATATCACATTTCGCAAATAAATGACGATTTTTGGGTAATTTTAATGTTTTGTCTATCATTTCGAAAGCTATAATAGAACAGCTAAAATGATCTATAAAAAGGCCAAATGACTAAAACCATTGGATGACTACTCTTATATCAGTGCTTTGTGTCTATTGTTTTTTTTTAATGCGAGTTATTTTATTGCTTCGATCTATTGATTCTTAATGTGTCTATCCAAAGTCAGGCGCCTGAAATTCAGTATTTGTCGTGATCGCTTCTATCATATTTGTTTTCCGTTTATTGTTTTGTACAGACCGTTGATTTTTCTCGTTTGAATTGTTTTACATTTCGGTGCTTTTTAATCTTACTATATATATATATATACGGTATGGGTTTTACTAATTGTGGAAGGCCGTACGGTGACCTATATTTGCTTACATCTACGTCACTTGGTCACTGGGGGATAGCTGTCTCATTGGCAATCATACCACGTCTTTTACTTTTATATACAGCTTGTCAGTCTCCCCACACAAGATTTAGATTTAACGTCTCCATTCCACCCCATCGAGGCTTCATATTTATACATCCCACATAGTCAAACATAGGTATCACCTGCAAGGGTTTTACTGCTGGACAGGCAAAGTACAGGTAACCATATTTCTTTAAATATCACCATTTTGGTCCCCGTAGTTGCACGAAATAATCAATGTATTGGTATGTCTTCTTACAAAAAAAATATGGAAAAATAAAAAGGTTAAAAATAAAAGCATAACCGTATGAATAAAAGGACATGCGGAATGGACGCTAATGAGACAACAACCCAACGATTAATAAATCCAAAGATTTTTTTAAAATAAGAAGTTACCATGGGGAAGTTAAAGACTACACGTCGAAGAAAGAGAGTAAAAAAATTCGGAAAGAAAAACATCAATCCACAATACAATACACAGAAATCTAAGCTTTAAATCGCCAAGAGTCTAAAAAAAAAATTATGCATTCACAAGGATAATCTGAAGAAAGTATTTTTTTTAGTGCGATTTGGACATTTAATATATCTCATATACTGATAATGGAATTAAACTTAAACCACCTATTTTCTGCTTAGTACTTAATTTTGAACCAAATGTAGAAACAAAAATCTGAGTGGATTCCATACAGTAAAATAAAAACTTTTTACAATTGTGCGCTTGTCCATCATGATTGACGACTGCATGGTAATATGTTTATTTTTGTAGCCCGCCAGCCCTCTCTACCCAAAGTTACTTCTCATTACACAACGACATAAAAACACCGATATTTGTATGAGATTGTCTACGTAAAAGAGCCTTAACTAATTTCAAAAGTTAAACAACACAATATGGCCATACTAAACTTCAAATTAGGATATGTTGGTCATTATCAAAATATCAAAATGAACTAGAACACATCCGCGACATCACTGGTCCATGACTGAATTAAAGTATCTATGCCTTATTTTAGCCTGGATTTTTAGTATTCGTATTGTCATCTGATAAAGTCATGCAGATTGGAAGGTGTACAGTTTTCTCTGCTTTCAAAGTCTTTGTTTGAATCCGTCCCGGCTTGTTTTCTTACCACAATAAACTTACTATAAACAAAATTATTTTGTTTTAACTAATTAGCCAAATTAATAGTGGTATTGAGGTGGAAGAAAACAGACTTGCTAAATAGTGTAACATAGATATGAAATAACTACTGGAAGAATTCCAGGTTCTCCTGATAGAGGAGTGATTTACAGAAGGTAACAGGAAACTTCATGTGACATATACTATTGGTATTGGTATAGGATTCGACCCGGAACTTGTTAATTATTGGTAATATTAATTAAACAAAAGAGCCTGTGATGGTGTAATTTTTAAACAACACCATTGTCCTATAATAGTTGTATATAAAGTTGAATTCTTTGATTCGTCGTTTTTACGTCATGCCGGCTAACAAATTGGACCTCGTTATTTTAGTAGTATAGATAACAGCTAAAATCAATAACTAGATAGAAAATAGGCATATCTTCATAGGCTTTGTGTCTATTGTTTTTATGTTAGTTGTTTTTTCTGCCTCGTACCGATCGTTTAATCCAATGAAGAGTTAGGCCAATTGCAACTAATTTTTACAGTTTGTTTTTAAATTATGCTGTTACACCACTGTCACAGGTTAGGGGAGGGTTGAGCGCTCAGAAACATTTTTAACCCCTCCACATTCTTTATGTGGCTGTACAAAGTCAGGAGCCTGTAGTTCAGTGGTTGTTGTTGATTCATGTCTGTCATTTGTGTTTTTCGTAAATTGAACTGTTATAAATAAGGTCGTTAGTTTTCCCATTTGCATTGATTCACATTTTTCATGTCGAGCCTTTTAAAGCCGACTATACGGTATGGGGTTTTCTCATTGTTGAAGGCCGCAAGGTTGCATCTAATTAATTACATTTACTTCATTTGAACTCTGGTGGATAGTTGTCTCATGGCAATCATACCATATCTCTTTATTTTTATACCTGTTAAAAAGATATTGAACATTTGACAATTTCCAACCTGATAGTCATGCTAGAAATTATATGAATGATTATCGTTAAATTTGGTTCCAACTTGCAAAGTGGTAGCAGACGAGGTTAACTTCTCACATCGACCATGAAATGGTGATGACGAGCTATACCAAGTATAGCCTATACTCGTTGCCCTACAAGAGAATAGTGAGAAAAAAAATATCATTATCATTGCCTTCTACTTAAAGGGAAACTCCGCAAAAAAATGAAAATTGATATTTTGTTCTTTAAGCATAAAAAACCACATGTTCATAAATATAAATCTTTTATTCTCTATGTAAAGAGATCAAAATCGATTTTTGAAATTCACTATCAGTTCTCGACATATCGCCATCTTGTCGGCATGTTCGATCTAAAAAGTCACGTGATATCTATAAACCACAAAGAACAAAAAGAATCGGGGATTTACCGACCGTGCGTTAAAAACTCCCATCATCAATTGGGGATTACCGTATACGGTTATTCAGTGTCAAAATGTCTTGTCAAGCGTACGGATGTTCTGTCAGACAAGGTTATGACAAAAGTCTACATAGTTTTCCCAATCCCACAAAAAAAGAAAGAATTGTATCAGACTTGGTTGTACAACCTTAAACTTACAGCAAATAGTTGCATCTATAGCAAGCACAAGTTGGTGTGTGAAGACCATTTTGAACAATATCGTTTCGATCGAGGGAGATTCCTTAAAAATTATCCTTTTTTAATAACAAAATAGCCTAGCAGTTCTGATAGCTATAGTTATCAAATCCTTATATGATAAGATCTCGTTGAATAAAAAAAATATAGATTTGATGAGGAAGAACAGTTTCAATTATAAGAAAGACAAATGCAGTGTTCTTGTAACAATCACTGATTTACAGAAGATTCATTAGTATGCCTCTTTTATATAAAGTGCATTGATTTGTATAAAGAATAGTTCCGTATGTAGACAAGGTAATTTTTCAATTAATAAAGTTATAAGATATAAAATAACATTTTTTTAATTATGATATTTAACGGCCATTGACAAGGAGCAATGTTAGGAAGAGGTTTTAGCTGGGACATAATATGTTGATATAGTATAATATTCCCAGGTTATAGATATGTAAATATCGAAATATCGGACATCTCAATTTTTTTTATTAAAAATGGTTTTTTTTTAACTAATCTTTAAATTATATCAGATTGATACGGGATCAATTCGGAACGGTCACTTATAAAGACACTTAGCTTTACCAGAGACATATAATACAAGAGATTCGCAACTCGGCGAAATCCCGTAATAACACGCGGCCACTAGTTAAACCTCGCGAGATCTCCTTAGGTAATAAAGTCATTAATAAAAGTATTAAAAGTACTCGAAGTAAGGACGAATGTTTAAGCATAACATAAACTGTTTCAGTGTTAAATTTATCATAATTAATTAAATATAATTTGAGTACATATATAATAATTTATTTTAATGTAATTTTGATTTTAGATTTGTATTATTGAAAAAGAGACATAATTTGATATTGTATAAAAAAAAACTGATATTAAATAATTAACACTTGATAAATTGTGTCAGAGTTCATTTTATTTGATAGTTACATAATGGGTTTCTATTGAATAAACACCTGTCTCGGAGACATAATTTCACAGTGTGACATGTATATTAGGTTTGAATTATTCGATGACCAGGTAAATCACGAACATGTTATAAATAATGAGTTTTAATTGACACCTTGTAAACAAGAAGTTGTCACACCACAGGTGTCCACACTCTTTCCAAAAATACAATTCACAAAATGTATAATTAATTAATATGGAAAAAAACTTAATTTATTTGTTAATTAATTGTTAATCATGATAGGCTTTGTTTTTTATTCTTGATATTTATAAATTATTAAAATTTTATTTATTTTTATATTCCTCATTTATTGGGCTTTCATTGAGTTTTTTTTCTGTAGGATTGTCGGTAAATGTTTGATTTCTAAGTGTTGTTTGACAGTTTTATCATATAGGCTTGCATTGAGTTGTTTTTTTAAATGATTGTCGGTAAATTTATGGTTTCTTCATGTTCGAAGTGTGTATTGAGAATTAATATTTAAGAAAATTACAATTAATTTCTCATTTGAATAAAGCTTCATTCATGTGCACGCAATATGGAAAATTCCGATTTTATTTCGTGGGATGACAATCTTAATTTCGTGGGATGACAATCTTAATAGTTACGACTTAGATTTACTCCTAGTTGAATAAACTGATAACGAACTCTTTGTTGATAGTGAAAAGGACGAAAACATAAGCGAGAGACCCACCAACAAAAACAATTGACAATACTGCATACATAGATGGATATGTGTGTCCTCGAAGCAACA